GCTTGTTTTGCCCGACCAAAAAGGCGTGACAGAAGTCGTGCCCGACGAACATTCCAGGCGCTAATTAATATTTCTTTTACCGGAATTATTGGCGAGCGAGAGAGGGGAGGAAAACATTTTCGGACATACCCAAATTTCTACAATTTTTCAGTAATATTTTTGTTAATTTATAAAAACTTTTCCTACAATTATTACTTTCCAAACAATTAAGTCAATTTTTTTGCTGAATTACATATTTTTGCCCGACGAGCGACGGCGTGTCGTTAAAATTGCCCGACAAAACTGCATTATTGCAACAAAATTGATAACTCAGTTATCTGCTAATGAGCCTGCGATGATTAGCAAGCGGTATCTATTTAACACAATGTAAAATAAAACAATTATTGAACCTCATCCAATAATTGTTAATTATTGTATGATGTTTGGAACCGAAGCACAAAATAAATAAATAAACAAATAAATAAATAATTGCGGAAGATTGTATATAAATTTCAGACCTAACCATACAGGAGCATGCAATTATATAAGCCCTCTGGCAGGAATCGAAACTCGACGACTGTACATTAAAGTAAAACTAAATATGAACAATTCTACTTCAGAACCACCTTCAGAGATAAGAAAAACTAGTTCCATAATATTCTGACACTGCAGAGTATACAAGGAAAAGTGTTCTCTGCAATGTCTGAATAATATGAAACTAGTTTTGAAATGAGAAAGCTGGGGATTGATAGGGATACAACTACGTGATAAATACAAGGATTAATGGCTACTAACTTCACGACGAAGGATCTTCGCCAGAAACGACGAAGTTCTGCTTGTATTTTTCAGGTAGTTGTATCTGCAAAGGTAGTTGTATCCACAGCTTTCTTATTATTGACAAGATGAACAATTTCTGTAGAAACCTGAGATTATATGATTAAAAATTGTACTTTATTTTCCATGAAGGACATACATATGTGAAGCTATCGATTAAGTGCAGTCTACTTTTCTTGAAATACACTGGTGCTAAAGTAATTCTGTGTCAAAAAGTAAAATGTGCTAAGCCCCCAAAATAAGGACTTGTCAATTAATGTTTTTACTTCTAACGATTGTATATCACTAGCATTTTTTGACTTTAAAATAATTTCTCCTGTTCGACTGTTTGAGGCAAAATACATAACTATACGAACAACACAATGGCTTCAACTGCATCAAAGGCTGGTTTAAATAAATTGTTTGGGCACAACGCAGCTATACGGGACACGAAAATATGAAAAAACCCATTTTTTTCATAACATGGCGTTGGAATAAAATTTTGCATGTTGCTTGGAGAAACTTTGTTATTCGTATTACTTTACCCTCAGTCAGAAATCCCAGCTTAGGTAAAGAAATACGTGGAATTGTTCCTCTGAACAAAACGATCTAATATAAATTTGCGTACAACGTTATGCCTAAATATCAAACATACACACATTTCCTTGTTGAGGGTAGAAGTTCGGCAACTGCTCCAGATCTTTCGTTATTCATGTTGGGAAGATACTTCCATGTAGAACCTCCCATTGTAAAACACTCCACTGAACTGAGATCATCATCCTCATTCCTACCTCCCATGACTACAATTGTATTTCCAGTAATAACTGCACAACAATTATATCTCTTCTCCAACATGGATGGCAAGGCTGTGATCTTGCCCGTCTTGCAGTCATACATGAAAACATCATTCAGAACTTGATCATCCTTATCACGACCTCCAAGTACAACTACTTGATCTCTCCAGCGAACTGTTGCCATTCTCTTCAGGGGATGTGGTAATGATGGCAGCTCCTTACATTCATTCTTCTCTGGATCAAACTCCAACACACTGTCTAAAACATCATAATTATCATCTTTTCCTCCCAAGATCAAGACTTTATCTTCAAAAGCCTCAGCGCCATGACCCTCTCGTGGCTGCAGCATTTGGCACAACTCTTTCAGTGTGCAAGGTGAGGTAAGTTGCAATTCACTAATCGCGTTAAACGTTTTACCCTCGTCACGATTATATCCACCAATGTGAATGACACGCTGTTTGTAAACAACAGTTTGATGATCATCACCTGCATAAGGAAGTTTGTCAGAAAATTCCATCCATTTCAAAGGTAATTCATTGAGATCCAAGGTTTCTATTGTCGTAGTACCCTCTCCCCCAACAACAAATAGTTGATCATTAGAAATAAATGATGAAGCTCCAAGATGTCCTTCATTCATTTGGGAAAATTCATACCAACCACTTTTCTCCCAGGAAAATATTTCTGCTTTTTGTCTCAAACACCAGCCACCTGCAATCAAAATGTCTTCCCTAGGTGTATTAAACATTCCCTCGGTCGGAGATGGCAGTTTGCTGAGCAGTTCAAGCATATTAAACTTCTCTAACATTTGACTCATCATGACTTTGACTTCGTCCACGTCTTTGTTCACTTTGCAAAGATTTTCTTTCATACCTGCCATTTCTTTGTGTTGGTCTTGTTTCATTTCATCATGGCCGTTCTTTATTGCTTCGTTGATCTTCTTATTCATTCCCACTAAACTGCCTTCTAATTTTCCGACAATCTTTTTCACTTCAGCATGGTTGTTTTCCATTTTTTTCTCCACAGTTTGCACTTTCCCGTCCAGTTCCATTAGACGTCCTTCCAATCTTCCCACAACTTCTCGTGTCTGTCCACAATCATGACATTTCACTTTCCTATATCCACATACTTCAGTCTCGTGATGGACCTGGTCTTGCTTGTTAATCTCCATGCCACAATTTTCATTTGAACAAAACACAGGAGCAAACTCGCAATTGGCAAGATGAGTTTTGAGATCTTCAACACAGGTAAACTCAGGACATCCTCGACTGGCATAATCACAATTAATCTTCAGTTTAGACAACATGTTATTCAACACACGGGGTCGACGAAGCGTATCTACACTCAAATGTTCATTGCATTCGGGGCAAGTTTGAGAATTTACTTTCAGATGTTTACTGATGCAGGCAAGACAAAAGACGTGTTCATTATTTCTACACATCCTTGGTTCTTTAAGAACATTGTAGCAGATTGAACAATGAAAATTTTCGTCGACATCTTTCTCAAACCTGCTATCTTCGTAGCCATATTCCTTTTCCGTCGGGCAACAAGCCATTATTTACAGTTGACAAAACTTTGCTCTGCTTTCTATTGTAGAAATAGATATACTAATGATCTCTCTTGGTAAGGTTTATCTTACATTGTGAAGCAAATATATCGAAACCAAGAGACAGACGAGATTTTGAAACACTTCCGCCTTCGCTATGGTTTGATTTTGGTATTTTGCAATAACAAAACCTTGATTATGCAACAAATACTTGGAAATATGTCATCATATGATCAAAGGTCATGACATCACTTTACTTTACTTTACTAACATTCAACAAATATATGCTGGTAATATTTCCCGAGTCAAAATTCTCTTTCAAATATGAAAAGTACTACTTTATGTGCGAGAACATGACGTGAATTAATTGCTAACGAAATATCACTCTATTATATGCTATTTGAACGCCAGGGTTGGGCAAAATCAGCGAGTAAAAACGTTGCAAAAGCATACTTAGATATACAAATAACAGCAAATCATTATAGGGAACAAACCCTATGCGAATAACTAATGAATATAGCAATGCATCGTTGCACGCATATATAATAAACTAAACATTGTTTCAGAACAACGTGTGCACTCCATTTCATATCGTTCCAGAACAGTGTTCCAAATGTTCTAGAATAGTAAATGGAGCAGCCTGTAGGTTACCGGACCGTAATTTGAGTATTAGAGAGTTTGGCAACCTAGAACGGCAACGGGGAAAATATAATTGCTTATATTATTGTATTTGAGCCAAAGTATACGTTTAATACTACACATAATTTGCCTCTTTAAGTATTCTTGCTTCTCTAAAACAGCCCTTAAGTAAAAATAGCCCACAAATTCAAATAAAACGCCTCAAATAACATCGAACGAATTAACTGTTGCCGTGGTCATGCACCGTGAAAATGATGCAAATCACGTACCAGTTTCAACAGCTACGGCATTGCACAACGCTTAAGACCATGTAATTTGCATTCGCCTTTGTCTTTAAGGATCAATGCTGTTGTTGATGACCATGTTGCCGTTGCTTTTGTATTTGCGAAACTGTCTAACGACAGGGGGGAGCTTGTTTTGTCCAACCAAAAGGGCGTCACAGAAGTCGTGCCCGACTGACATTTCAGGCGCTAATTAATATTTCTTTTCCCAAAATTATTGGCGAGCGAGAGAGGGGAGGAAAACATTTTCGGACATACCATATTTCACTAACTTACCCAAATTTGTAAATTTTTCAGTAATCTTTTCGTTAATTTATAAAAACTTTTGCACGACACAACTGCAATATTACAACATTGGGCCTGAAGTTACTTCCCTGCCTGGTTAATTATAAATCAAGTTCTGATCACACGGGGTACACGGTACCGGACGAATTTGGAACCGGTCTGAAATTCAGCCGTTTCGGCCGTGTAAACACACGAGAACGACAGAATCGGACGAATTTGAGACCCCCTAACAGGACGAATTCGAATTCGCGTGTAAACAGGCGAAAAAGGACGAATTTCAAACCCGCGTCCCAAATTCGTCCGGTACCGTGTATAAACGGTAATCGAAGGAGTCTAATTGTAGTCTAATTATAATCGAAGGAGTCTAATTGTAGTCTAATTATAATCGAAGGAGTCTAATTGTAGTCTAATTATAATCGAAGGAGTCTAATTGTAGTCTAATTATAATCGAAGGGGTCTAATTGTATAGACTAATTATAATCGAAGGTGTCTAATTGTAGTCTAATTATAATCGAAGGGTCTAATTGTAGTCTAATTATAATCGAAGGAGTCTAATTGTAGTCTAATTATAATCGAAGGAGTCTAATTGTAGTCTAATTATAATCGAAGGAGTCTAATTGTAGTCTAATTATAATAGAAGGAG